ATATCATTATTTAATAAATAGTTAATTATGTATGTTGCTATTTGAAAAAATAAAGTTGACACTATTATCGGATTAACATGAAAAATACGCTTGATTGATAAGTTTAAAAAAACATGTAACTAACATAAATCAAAAGTTAATAGATTAAAGTCACAATTATAAAAAAAAAAACCTGTATATTATACCTGACAAATTTCGTGTGGTCGCCGTCTGCATTGTGATATTCAGATGATGCTTGGACACCAACAGATACTGGTCCAAGACCTAGTTTGTATAAATGTCTTTTGGCTTTTATCAACTGTACTCTTTCAAATTGCAACATTAACTCAGCTTGTTGTTTACTCCTATTTAAATCTTCGAGTCGTTTAAACATGCGGACAAACCGCTTTTCAAGAACATCCAGATAATTAGTTTGTAATTTTTGTGCCCAATTAATTATCATTTGCAATTGAACCTCTACAGGCAATCGATTTTGAGCATTAGCTGATTTAAGGAGCATCAATAGGCTATCATCTGTTGGTCCCAAGATGGTATTGAAATGTTTGTTTTGACTTCTGCGTTTGTATAGAAATACGCTAACTACTAAAAGACAGCAACTGCACGCTGTGTACCAAATCACAGACGATTCCCATGATTCTTTATTATGCTGGTAAGGACTTAACGACATAATTTTAAATGTTCATTAATTCTTATTATAAATGTAATGTAACAAAAAAAAAATTGTTACTTGTGTACTAGATGTCTAATAGCAACAAACACTGTTTTAATAAATGTATTGAAATATTGTCATGTTTATTTAAAACGTTATTTTGACGAATTATTTATGAATTTATAAAATTATATCATCTATTCTGTTTGTGTCGTTTAGTAAAATGACCGTAAAATCATTTAATAATCGAGTCATAAATTATGATTCCAAATATTAATTTCAGAATTCAAAATATTTAAATAATAATAAAAAAAATAAATACACTACTAAATATAATCCAACTTTTTTTATATTACATGTTTAATAATTATACTTTCAATTGGATTTAGTGTGAAAAAAGTTATGTATATAATAAATAATATCTAAAGTTAATAAGCGATTTATAAAGTGCATATTTTCTAAATAAACCCATTTATTTTTTCAGGTGTTGAAACTCACATCTTAATCACAATCAACCTTTATCATCGTTGCAGCTGCTATTAACTTTGTCAGACAAAAACAAAGGATAATTATTGACAAATTATGGAGGGTGTGATTTTTCAGCTGCAAATAACATGACTAACATAAAATCAATATTCTAGCCCCAAATAATATAAAATGATTTATAATAAATATGTATCTGTAATTACATAGATATAATCGATTATATAAACTACTAGATGTAACTAAATAGTATATAAATTTTTAGCTAATGTCTTTTTGTTTGGTATTATAACAATACTTAGTAAAAATTCATAGATTGAACATTTTATCGTTAATAAATAATAATACATAAATAAGTCATATATCTATGTGACGGTTAGTGAATCAAATATGTTTTTTCATTAATTTCATTAGGAAATCCTTTTCTGGTTGTGAACAGTAACGTTCTAAAGTTTTACTCCGTGACATACATGTAAATCTCTTCTGTTAATGTTACGGTATTTTTCAAAAAAGTTTTTCCCTTTCAAGTTTTTATAAAAAGTTCCAAGAAGTTGTCAATTTATTTTTGACAGTCTGGGATAGTCTTTTGTAAAATCATTGTTAAATTTGATCGATTCTAAGGCTAACACTGTGCTGTAGCACTCACAGTATGTTTTACCAACTTCCAGGGGTGTGAGCGTTTTTATTTCATCCATTATTTTCAATTGTGTCAATTTAAAACCCAAGAGGCGCTACTGTTGTCCTCTATTAATCGAGTTACGGTTGCCGCCGGCACGAACTTCTGTTTCCCCGAGATTAGTTTGCAGGGTTACATTTATACCCGTTTTTTTTCCGTGTGGGCTAGTTTATTTATTTTTTTTTTTTTCATTTTTTATTTCTAATTGAATTATTGTCCGATATAATATAGTAGAGCCTTTTGGGGGACTTCTGCGTTGCTGCTACACAATCTAATATTGAAGACGCCTCGAAGGATGGCCGCAAACGCTATCTTTGAGTGAAAGCGTATTAGTCACATTTAAACAATTCAAATATGTAGTAATTATGAGTTTAAATATATAAAAAGAAATTATACTGTTTTTCCTGAACGTAAGCTAAATAAGCTGTGGGTAAAAAATATTTTTTTTTACAAATATTATAACAGATCAAATAAATTAGTTTATTGAACATTTCAATAAAAATAATAAGCATTATAGATATTAACTAGGTTTATTGTCAGTTAAGAATACATTTTTTACTTAATGTGGTGACCATGGAAATTTATAGGTAGTTGAATATCATTACGTTTAAAAGTTTAAGATACATTTTTTTGTCATTTTATTGAATGATAAACACCTTATTATTTTGTTAATACTATTATAATTATTATATTATTTATACAATTAAGTGTATTACAATGTGTTACTGTTGTGAGTATATACCAAATCAAATATTGGTCTGTATATTTGTAGTTATCATCATATTTTTGGTATTATTTCTTTGGCAATCGAAAATACTTTGTTTGAATTAAATTCATAAGAATGAAAATAAAACTTCTAGCCCAGTCAAAATTAAACATTGATTTTATTAGCATTTTTGATCATTTTTTTTTTTTTTTTTAATTTTTAACTTTTGCAAACAAAAAATTGTCAATGCCAATAACTAACAATAACATATGGAATAAAAATTACAAGTAAATATGATTTACAATTTCACAGTAAAGAATATTGAAATATTGTTTTTTTTTGTTTATAATTTAGATAGAGTAATGACTGGTGACTTCATATGTATAACTTAAATCTGATTAACATCAAAGAAAAACGTAATTAAAAAGCTATATTATCATTGAATTAGAATATATTTTGCAATTAGTAATTAAATATTTGAACATTATAACTAGTATATTGATTAACTATAGTCTACCACATTAATAGAATTTCAGTTTTAAAAATTTATATAATTTGGTACTGATAAAATGTTTGTGATAGCTGAGGTCACTTTAAATACATTTAAGATAATTATTATTTAAAACGAAAAATTGCTCAACACAAAGATATTTAAAGTCGAAGTATGAATAAATTCAAGGAGAATTTTTGTCACAGCCGCTAAAATGCAATTTTATTGAAAAATTATTGTTACGAATTTACCTTAAATAAACTACTAAAGATAAAATTGTTTTTGTTTAATAATTCATTAATATTCATAAAAATAATAACAACAAAGATTTTTTTATGACAATGCGTTGGAAGAGGAAATGTATAAATACTTAAAATCACTGGTCTGTCGTTTTTAATAGTTATCAGGTCAGATTGTTGTTTTGCACTAATGAAAAAGTCATTGAGGCGTAGGATGACTATTGAGTTTAGAGGGTTAACAAAATACAATAAAAAAAGAAATCGTAGATATTTATTTTTCACCCTACTGACAGCTATCCGTCAGTGGTTTTGTACTCGTATATAAAGAGTTTAAATTTATACCGAACTCGTGCTATGTATAATATGTGAACATTATGTTTGACTTGGAAATAATAATGATGCCGATGAAATACTGTCAGTGTATTGAGAGAGAGAGAGAAACGACCTGCTATAGTTGGTAAAAGACCGGAACGGTGGCAGTGGAAAAATGAATGAAATAAATAAGGGGTTAGTTTTTCAAGCCGCCCCGTTGGCATTGTGATGAAAACAAACCCCGCTGAGAAAGCCATTGTTTAGTCGCAGGTATCACATCTGTTTCGTTGAAATATTATACATTTACAGTTATAATTATGATTATATTATATTAGGTGATATAATTGATTATCATTGAGTTATTTATTACGAATACACTCTGTACAAATTTTATTAAATAAAACTGTCTATGTACATTTTTAACAAAGTTCGAGGTTTTGAAAAGTTGGGAATTTGTGATTAGCGTCAATATAAAGGTTATTGGGCACCATTATAGATAGTCGAAAATAGTGTTATTAATATTAAGGGCGTTAGGGGGGGGGTGGGGTTAATCACTTCTAAACTTGATTTTAACAACTCCAGGCCTAGTACTTTCCTTTAATTGTAATACCTTTAGTTACAACTAAGTGTTTTTATTTATAAAAATGTATTATCAGTTTTTTTCTTATCTTGTATAGGTTAAAATTATACTACCATTGTAGTAAGTAAAATCGTTATTTCGAGTTTATTGGGACATATAAATATTCAGCTACCGATCAACAGAAATCGTTATACAGCTATTGATAAACCACTATCACTAATAGAGGAAACTTCTCTGAGAAGTTATAAATTATACAGCCATAAACATGATGATCGGTTTATCGTAAACAACTCCATTACAACTTTTGGATCAGTACTTTGGATGTTATTTATTTTTATACCTAGGCGAGACGAGGAGTACGACCAGTAAAATACTAGTTATAAAAATAGCAGCGGNAAATTAAGAACATGGAAAAATAACGGATTACAAAAATTAATTATACGTCTATTTTGGTGAAACGTTATTTATTCAACAGCTATTTCATACTATAGATTTTATGAATAAGATTTTTTTAGTAATGTAATCAAATGGTTTTGAATTGTATATTTAATAAACTTATATAAATTTTGTATAATTTACAAACATAAAAATTATTCATACTTACGAATAAATATTAACACAAAATAATAAAAAAATTGTGTTAAATAAAAAAATGGTAATTATCTATATATATTTAGATATTGATAGACATTTGATTCAAATACAGAGTAATTAATTTTGGGTAAGATACTCATTTTCTCAAGAGCAACTGAATATCTTAAATCTTTAAATAGAAAAGAATTATTTGGTTCAAAATAATGTAATCAAATTATGTTTTATTTCATCCTTTAAGTGATAAAAAATACTACTGTGCTGATGTATTTTATGAGTACTAAAGCCATGTTTAATGCAGTCAATTAAAAATTATTGTCAGTAAAATAAATCTTTTTAATATTGATTTAAATTTGTAGCAAACACATTATCTTTTAGTGAGCACCATCTAGTGGTTAACAGTTGTTTTAATGTGTAAACGATAACCATATAGATAGCATTAAATTGATAATTCCTTATACAAAATATCTAATTAAGTTAAAAATTAAATTCCTATATATGTTCATATTGTTTTAATATAATAATTAGATTATTAACAAAAATAATACATAAAAAGAGAGTAAAATAATAATCCAAATTAAGAAGATTGAAAAAATAATGTTCAATCACTGTCACTATTGACTATACAATCATTTGTTAATAAACTTTCAATTCGCTTAGGATTTTTTCCGTGTGTTTCTCGTACAACAAAACATACAAATAGAGCACTGACATAACAACACAAAGTATAAAACCATAAAGTAACTGAGTTATACGACATAAATTTGTCATTGTAAAATAGGCACACAACAATAAACATTACTATTTGGCCAATACCGTGTAGTATTCCTGTTGACTTTTTCATACTCTTAAAAATAAAATTATTTAAAATTTTTTAATTTTGAATGATAGTAATATAATAAAACAAAATGTTCAGTTATTTTATCTATGGTCAGCCTCTGATTTATGGAAGAAAAGAGATCCAAATCTCTCCAAAATTAAAATATTGCATGATTTTGGTGTGATTTAATAGGATAATTTAATCTCCAGGATAAAATTTTTAAACGTCAATGAGAAGATTTATACAATTACTTAAATAATGTTAACTTGAAATATATATATAGTAAAAAAGTAATAAAACTGTTAACAACTTTNTTTAAACGTCAATGAGAAGATTTATACAATTACTTAAATAATGTTAACTTGAAATATATATATAGTAAAAAAGTAATAAAACTTTTTTTAACGTTAAAACAAAGAAATATACAACAAGTAATGAAAATCAAGTTTTCTAATAAAATGGCTAATAATTTAACTTTTTCCACTTACGTTTAAAGTTGTAATATCTGCAATGACTACCATAACTATAGGCCCCCAACCAATGTTATATGAAAAAATGTAACTAAAAATTAAGAAGAGTGGTGCGTCTTCATAACAATCTGATGCTAAGTATTTAGGTAAAATAATGTGATACACTAGAAGCATTGATAAAGTTATTGCCATACAAATAGATGATATAAACAATAACGTTTTACGACCGAACATTTCAACTGTTTCGATAGCAGCTAGACATACTACCACCTGAAATTAATGTTAGGCATTAACAATGTGTTCGCATTTGGGGGATCAACCTCAAATAAAAAATTAAGTTACAATGATATTTGTTCCATTAAAAATGATTTAGGGTAAAATATTTTACTTGTAAAATTGATAAACTTAAAACTGCGATCGAGGTCAGGGAAGAGGTTTCGTCATAATCACCAAAATGAACTACAACTTCTTGCATGAATTGAGTTAACATAGTTACTCCACATAGCTGTTGAAAGATTATTAATCCTATGCCAATTGTTAGTACCTTTATACAATGTTTCTCTGTTAGAGCTTCACAAAAAGAAGTATTTTTATCACGGAGCTGTTCTGTGCATTTCTAGAAAATAAGATTCATGGTTACTCAACGTAATAAGTGCAGAGTATATATATTATAATTAAGCTTTTAAATATACTTGAAGACGCGTATAACATTCATCAGCATCGTAAAATGGGCCTCTGATTAAACGCATTACATTTTTCACTTCGTTGGCTGATCTTTTATTAACCATGTAGTATGGTGACTCAGGTAAAAAGTAAACAATTAAAATATGAAGAATCGACCAAAATAGACACGAATAAATTATATTATTGAAAGTTGAACAGATCACTCCTAAATGGTATGTAAAAGATATTCCAAAGGAAATAAATACATGATGAATTACTTGTACTTTACCTAAAAATAATACATTTCATTGATATCTAAATAAAACTATCAATACTTATGACGCTATAAATGTTTACTTAAAGTATAAGTTAATAGTTGCATACATCTGAGATTTGAACAATTATTTAAAGGTGATGTGCATTTTTAAATAGATTGAAAATATGTTCTTAAAACTACGAATGATTTTAAATGAAGACTTAAGAAATCCATAATAGGACATAATTCATACAACATTTATTGAGTCAACTTACTTTTAATATTAATATCTGTTATCTCTGATATATAGGAAGGTACTAACAAAGTTAATCCTCCACAACCGAAGCCTTGAAGAGAACGGCTTATCCAAATTGTACGTATCATATCATCTTCTACACAGTCAAATCGTAATAGAATAATCCAACCAATTAAAATTGAAAAATTGTAAAAAGTTATTGACATTTTAAAGCCAATTAAATCGACAAGAATATTTTGAGTTAGGCCACCAAAAAGTGAACCTAAACAATACCATGCCACAATCCATGCTATTGAATTTTCTACAAGTTGATAATTTTCAATAATAGAGCAGCTTTCTCCATTATGTTTGATCATTTGACTGGCTACAACAGAGTTTAGTCCTATTGAGACGCCAATAATTATTCCAGCTGCACCGCCTAGTATTCATAAAATTATTTTTATGAACTATATACTTTGTGTAGCCCTATTTGATATGTTTTACACAAGATGGAGTATACGTATTGAGAGAACATATTTGTTTCAATTATATTCTTATAGCTACCAGACCTTTGAAAATGTCTATCATTTTCGCAAAGTTGAGTATTAAAATTTGTAATCATTTAAAAAAACTAGCAAATTGATTTCTTCTAAAAATAATCATAAAAATATACAAAATAGAAAACATACATTTCAATTAAATAAAAATGAATGTAACGAAGATATTTCTATAGATATGAAATGTTTTTTTTCGGAAAGAGCAACAATAATATGAATATACCGGGTGGAACAAATCTAACTAACACTTATGAATTTTGATCCAATAATCATTTCGCTGTAAAATGTGTTAACAATAACTTTTGCACTATTTAGTTACGTTAAAAGCAACGTTTTTATTATTTGTCTCTATTAAGAAATATAAAATAATTTTAGTTTTTAATTTTTTCAAAACTTTAATAAAGCCATTTTTAGCACTTTTCTTACAAAAAATCCGGCACAGTGGGGACAAGTATAGAAGATGATCAAAACCACTATCATAAAAAACGCTTCGATGCAAATCTGTAGATAGTGTTTAATTTTTAGAAGGCATTATTGAATTATTCCAAAAACAATATGAACTATTTTATACCCTTATTTTTTGCGCCTAGCAAAGTCTATCTTTAATTCGTGGCCACACTGATTAGTCACCCGTCGTCTCTCTTATCATTGGACAAGTTAATCTGTCAGGGTAGCGGTTATGCGATTGAAAAATCATGGCTCTCTACTTTTTGAACGTCCGTGAAGATAGCTCACGAAATTCACTGATAAGTAACCATTGATAAGATTTCAGTATCAAAATTGGTTTATTATGTACATTAGGTTGCAGCATCAGTTTTTATCAAGGGGTTTTCTTTTTAATAATTTTTAATTTAATGTAATTGATAGAAATCATTTTATTGCATAGAGCAATATTACTCTATGCTTTATTTTGTATTTTGTCAGACCTCAACGTTTATAAAATTAATGTATCTTTGAAAAATGTCAATTTTGTGGACTTTTCAATAGTATAAGATTTATTGAAAAACAACGTAGGCAAGTCACTTAGAAAATTAATTTCTGTGAAAATATACAATGATTTCCGCTATATCAATATACCCGCGAACACACCATCATGGGGGGGGGGTACGTTTCCATCACTTGTACCCTTTGAAATTAAGTTTTTCTAATAGCAAATTTCGTGAGCTTTTCAATGGTATAAGATTTAGTCACCAACAACGTGGGTAAATGACCCTACTAGGTATTTCAACGTAGAAATATTCATGAATTTTTGCAATTCATATATTATGTATACTCAATCTTACAATGTTATTGTTTATTGATAAGACAGCATAAAATATAAAATTATTACATAGGAAAAGTATACTAATCATTTTGACATTTTATGTAACGTTAATATAGTTGTTTACACTTAACATAAGGATTGACACTTTTAATTTAATAATACTAGAGTAAAAAATAATGACTAATATAATAGATTATTTCACGATAAAAAGTGATTTTTAAATGACAAATAATTTATTTATAACTGAAACATATGTAATATAATATAATTAAACAGTATGCATTTGTTAAATATTTCTCTAAGTTATTTATTTAAATGTTTTTGTTGAAAAGAATAATGTTTTTTTAACCAAATGAATATGATGTATAAATAAAATTGTTGATTATCTTAAACGAAAAGATTAAATAAATGATCAATTTTATGAACACAAACAAGGGTAGCCTACTCCTACTGTTATAAAACTTCAAAAATTCAAAAAAATAAAAAATGTCTTTATAAAATAAAAAAACCCAGCACAGTGGGGTCGAGACATAGTGGGGACGTTGCATAGTTGGGTCCAGTATAGATTTAATCTGACAGTGGTTAAAATCACTATCATGAGAAACGTTTCGATGCAAATCTGTAGATAGTGTTTAATTCTAAGAAATTGATGAATAATTATAAAAGCAACATCAAATTCTATTTCCTTAATTATACCCAGATTAGTAATTCTTTTAATTATATATTATATAATTTTTAAAATTAATTGTTTTCAAATTATTATTGATTTTGATTTTTAATATGTTAAAAGTAATTATTTTGAACCTACTTTTTTTTGTCCTTAAAAGTGAAAGTTTTAATAAAAAAAAATGAATTTATTACCATAACTTTTAGCNCAAAAGCAACATCAACTTCTATTTCCTTAATTATACCCAGATTAGTAATTCTTTTAATTATATATTATATAATTTTTAAAATTAATTGTTTTCAAATTATTATTGATTTTGATTTTTAATATGTTAAAAGTAATTATTTTGAACCTACTTTTTTTTGTCCTTAAAAGTGAAAGTTTTAATAAAAAAAAATGAATTTATTACCATAACTTTTAGCTCATCATACAAGTTTGAAAATGACATCATTAAATAGAAAAAAATGAAATTGTTAAGATTAATATGCAATCAGGAAATTTTATAATTACTATTTACAGTACATTTATCAGAGAAGTTTGATTTTTTTTTTACATTTTTATCGTAATGGATCACTTAAATAAAAATCATAGTAATCATTTCTAATTAACTTGACACGGTACCGTGTTTCCCTCAGCCGCACATCACGTTATCAACCTAAATGAAAGTGTATCGGGATCTGAATCATAAGTGCACGGTGGCCTAGTGGTAAGGATGGTCTATACGACGCCTTGGGTCGCGGTTTCTAATGCCGTACCGTGCCTCTTTTAGCTTCGATGCGAAGCTGAGAAGGTATTGGTTTTACTAAGATGTGTTTTTTTTTTTTTTTTTTTTTTTTTTTTTTTTTT